CAGTATTTCATGGTGGTAAAAACGATAGAACCTTTTTTCTATAACCAAACGCTTATATATAGATACTTCACGGTTCGATAAAATTCACTACTGGTTGGGAAAAGCTGATTCAAATTTGAAACCGGCCATTATTTTCATATCATATGACTGTTTTGGAGGTCACGTGGTTGTGTAGGTACTAAGCATGGTAAAGGTGATGAATTATATTTGTCGCTTATAGTGATTTGCACAAAATACAAATGAACCAAGGTATCACATCACTGTTTTCTTCCCCCAGACAACCCCAGAACCACTTCGTCAACCACGCAGTAATGGAGATGTACGGGGCGTAGGTTTGAACCAAGGACTACCTTCATCGCAAATACACCTCTCATCACCGTGCTACATATTACCTTCCTCTTCCAATACTACAGTTGACCCTAATAGTCAAAATCCTGATTCCTGTTGCTCATAATTTAATCGAATTCAACTTATTATTACAAGAAATGAAAAGGATTTTGTGAAAGTTCGGACGAATGGTGGAATAAAACACAATGAGATGAGGCCTACAGTAAACGTTGTGTGGAAAACGAGATGGGTTGGGAAGAACATTATTCTTGTGGATGACAATCGCAGGATTTACAAATGCAATTTCCTTCCAGCTAAGACAATACAGAAATTCCAGTTGGTAAGATGGCATGCAAAGCAAACTGAACTTGCAGAACAGGAAGATCAGAGCGTATATCTTATCACAGTAGAATCACTGGGTATCTTATTGATATTAGTAATATACATCTATACCGCACAGAAAATTAGTACCTGACCGGGGGCGATTTCAGTGAACATTCACAGCGGATAATCAGTACTGTAAAATGGTACCAGTGACTATAAGATTAAGAGAAAACTATGTGGTGATAGAGTTAGCACTTTACAAATTGTATGAGAACAAAGATAATGCAACAAGTAAACTGGTAAGCGCCGATGTACCGCACGCGCTGTCCTCATCGCTACCGTTGCTACCGATAGTAATGTCGATTTTGCTGTTGCTGTTGTTGTCATTGTTTTTGTTGTTGTTGCTGTTGTCGTCATCGTCGTCGTCGTCGTTGTCGCTCTTGGGATCGCCATCATAATTCGTTTCCTCGCTGGAATTACATTTTTCGAACGTTTTCAATCGAAGGCGAAAAGGGTTTCAGTTTTGAAACGGTGTCGAAACAATGCGTTCTAAGAGAAAATAAAACGGAAAACTGAGGCATTAAATAAATAGCGATCATTACGAAGAAAACACTAAATACCACATAAAACACATAAATATAGCAGTTTTTAAATTAATGTAATCCTCATGTTATTCTCGTATCCATAGTACTAGATTTCCTCCATGGCTTTTCCTTCTGGGTTCAAAGACATCTCTTACATCTCTTATCTCTCTTACAGTTTTAATGTCCAGGGTTAAAGGTAGTAGCAGCAACTTCACTGAAGATTCTGTTTACCACTTACCTGTACTAATCCTGTAGGAACGGAAAAGCGCCGAACCCACTGTGCGAGTGGACAATGTGGAAGCGCTGTTAGAATGGAACTGATCAGGTAACAACAAACGTCCAGTCCAACTTCTTATCAACTTGTTGGACCAACGTAAACTGAGCAAAAATGAGCGAAAATTGAAGAGAGGAGTTCTGGGCAGTTCGACTAATAAAACCCTCAACAACAGCAGTAGGGGACAGGATAGCCCAATATCCAATGTGCAACTGGAAAAGCGGCACACGTGCCGAAATTGTAAAACTTGGTTCTGAAGACTTTCCAAACGAAATGCACTCTTGAGTAGTCTCAAGAATCGGAGTCAGGCAAATATATAAACAAGCCAAATTGTTCTCCGTAATAAAATAACTGATGTGATTAGTGACGCTGTCGATTAAAAAGCAGAGGTACTGGCTCGACCTCCTCCCCAATGCTGTCTTCTAGCCTACATGGGAACGCGCTTTCCTCTCTATATCTAAGGCAAGGAGAATAAAGTCGACTAGCATTCTACGGCATTCATAAAGAACACAAAATCCCTAAACAGCAGCCGAAACAACACACGAAATGTTTGAAAACCACTGTGGACGACGAATTCGAGGAAAACGAATTGAGTGCAAGAAGTACTGAGATCCGTACAGTAGATGTTTCGTGACAGGTCGTATGACACAAATGTAACAAGAACAATAGGCGGCCAACCTGAGAAGATATTGAAACGCAACATCGTGACTAACTTAATTGAGTGAGACAATCACAAGTCGGAGAGATATTATACTAGTGAACTTCCCAACGACGACGATGTTCAGATGAAGGCTCACAATTTGAACACGAAAGTAAACGAACAGAGAGCAGTTCAACATCTTAAAAATCGACTTTCATTAAAATTCGATAACAATAATTAATAATTTTCTACACACTTGCGCAAAAAAGAGGTTATCATGTCATGCTGAACGAATTCACGCCTCAACAGTTCCCTACATGATTAACCTATGACGAGGTTGGTATGAAACTTTCATTCGGCTAACTTTTCGGCGCCTTCCTCAGATCTGCGTTGATTTGAGTCAATGATCCACTGCTGATTGTTTTCGCGATGTGCGTGTCCCTTGTTGCATCGATGGAATCGGTTGAATCCAGTGAAGGGAGCACCGCTCTAATGACATTCCCATTCCAATGGGTTCGACTTCATGCGACAACGAATGTCTACCTCGCGACGACAAGCAGTGGAACATCGACTCGGTACAACGCGGTTCGGAAGATGGTGCCGAAACGTTGGCAGAATAAAAGTTTTACACTAACCTCGTCAAAGTCCAATCATGTAGAAAACTACTGAAGCAAGACCTCGTTCAGCATGAGATTATGCTATTCCCCAATGTATCTGCTATGTCTGCAGCTGCCGCTCCTGCACTGAAAATTCCAGAAATCCAAGTTTCGTTACCAGTTTTTTTCGAAGTTTTCATCCTGAACACCTTTGGATAGAAAGGACACTGTAAAAATTGTATATATATATATACATATATGATTAGTAACTACAATGATGCTAAGACATTTGTAAAACTCCGGACCACAGGTGTCTGCAGTGGGAATCGAACTCGTTACTAGCCTTTCGAAATCTCACGGGCATTAACACCAGTGCAATATGTGGACTTTCAATGCCATGGAACCATTCTGATCGATAGGAGAGCAGAAGAGTCTAGGTGCCGTACTTAAGAGAGGGAAAAAACTTTCTGGGTTCATTAACGCAAGGGAGCCGAAAGTCGACATGAAGGACCTGCAAGGACTCGATTAAGTCAGAAGACGTGCTTGATTGCATGTATGTAACACAGCGTTTTTACAAAGTTTTTTTGATTTTGCCTCGGATTTTATTCAACTAAGAAGTAATATAAATTTAATAGAGGCTCTTGAAACTGTAAGTTGTTGGAAAGGTGTGGTTACGAAAATAATAACCATCAAACGAAAACTGTCATTTGAAGGGGTTAAAACAGCAAAAGAAAGGACTGGAAATATTTCTACAAAGCAAAAGGAATGGAAAGAATTCCAGACGCATCGAATTCACATAAAAGCTCACCTTTCCTCATAATACTCCTCTCCATAAGCTGGGTAGCGAGGTCGCACCTGAAACCAGTTATAAAGTCCATGTCTTCTTTTATTTTATTTCACGTGACCTCGAAATTTTGGGATTTGCGCTAAGTTGTTCAGCCAACCTCTTCTTGCTCCTCCGGTTCTTTTTCTCTCGAGCTTTTAGCGCTCCCAACTACCCATCCATTCACACCCTTCGTCACGGCTGCTTCGCCCTGCTCGCTGGTGTTTTCCGTATTGTTTTCTACAAGCGCGCCAGTGGTGCTCGAGATTGACTTCTGAGATCAACAGCACTATCGCGCTCGTTGTTCAACACTCTTTCGTATCTAGATAAGAAAAAATCTCTCAAACTGGAGGAACCTAAACCCAAAAACCACCGTACGCTAATCTTTTGCTGTTTTTCCAAAGTTTTGGGAAGACATTATTAACTAAACTACCGATGAGAGTTACACCGGCTCCTCAACCATCTTATATGATAGCAGTGAAAAGGTAAAGAATTGAAAATTTATCAAGAGGGATATTTCCAAGAGTCGCTAGATCCTGTTCTACAATTTATCCCATTTCCTGATTTCGTACGCCTCGAGAAACTATACGGCACGTAACGAGCATGAAGGAGCGATCAGACGCGATCGAGGTAATAATGATGGAAGTGTCAGGTTCGAGGCAAGTGACCGATGGAATCTGGCGTTTCCAATCTCTATAAGCAAAAGTAAAAATGGTGGTAACACATTCGTACAGTAGGACATGAAAACCATACGGCGGCCGTTCATTGCTTCCTCTTCTTCGTCATCAAGATATTCTGGACAGATTTGAAGAATCATGATAAAAGGATAAAAGGATAAAGCTCTCGCCGTTGATCAATCTCTGAGGGAATGCGCCATGCATTCGACTTCATTAGGCACCGTTGGAGGTGATTGAATGCGTATCTGGCCTTTACAATGACTCGCGGTGGCCTACCAATGTATCGAGCCAGTGCTGCTATCCTCCCAGACAAGTCTGGTACCAATTTGCTGACCCCAGCAGAAGGAAAGTTTGGTGGGCCAGAGGCGCGGGGATTGATTCCACGTATGTGTCGCAGTGGTGCTTCCAACCACTGCGCCGCACGCTCCCTTTGGAATCATGATATCTTTATGAATTGTTCATGCCTGACATATCGGACGTAATTGCGGAAAAGACAACAGAGGAAGCGCTCATGGAAGCTCACAACTCTTGAAAAGATTTATCGGATCAGCTGCTCAGCATTTTTAGCTTAACAGAGTATCGCGATAGTGAACCGTTCTGTTTACAATCACCAAATGATAGTAACCCTTCACTATGTGCCTTTCGAAAGATCGATATCAGCTTGTTTACGGTGATATTGTTTATCTTTATCGTCTTACTATAAAAAGGGTTTTTTTGGTGAAGTCCACACTTTATCACTTACATTGCTGTAAACGATGAGTACAGCGGTTGCATCCGAAGCTCCATCATCCGTAAGCGGAAATCCTGTCGAAGGCGTCAAGAAGGCTCACGTACGATTTCTTTATATCCTCAGGCTAAAGAGATTCAGTTCGTCTTAATGTACTATGGTTCAGGCCGATATGGTCAGCAGTCTTTATAAATCTTTTGGACCGCTAGCAGATGAGCAACTGAAGAAACTAGATCAAGCCGGAGTCAAAAGAGAAAATGTGCGTTGAACTGTGTAGATGCTTTAACGTTGACGCTGAAGAAATAGTTTCAGGTCGCCTATGGATTTCTTGGTCTAGTCGGTGTTTACTTGATTTGGGGGGATCAAGCTTTCTTCGTTTCCGAATTGATCACAGTCACTTATCCTGCGATGGTTAGCGTTCAGGTTTGTATCTTTTCTTTAACCCGGTCTGATTATTGGATAATGTACTCCTATGGCAATTCATGTTCAGACGATCCGATCTAAAAACGGAGGCGAAGCTCTCAACCTACTCCTTTACTGGGTTATGTTTGGATTCTTCGCACTGCTTGATTCATCCGCCATATGTTTACTTCCAACGTACTTCTTCTTGAAGGTAGGATTCAATAAATTATACGCCCCTAAAGAACATTCTTCACACAACAGTTTAGGCTGGCTTACCAGGAGACGCCTCTAAAAGAATGAAACACAGTTTTCTGAAAAAAATTTTAAAGGCATTCTTTTGTTTAGACGCTATTCCTCGTGTTCCTCTTCCTTCCTCAAACGCAGGGAGCAGTACTAATCTACCAGAAAGTCGTCGATCCAATAGCAAGAGCAGTCGAAGGAATCGTAAAGAAGAAATGATATTTGATGACCAACTAGTAATATTTGGCGTGTTGAAGTGAGCATGATTCAAAGTTTGCTAGTTTTCTAGCGGCAACAATGACCGAAATTGAGAATAAAGCACGTCTACTACCATGGCAGCAACGTTATCTGCATGACAAAGTGGAGATGATGTTTCCATGTAGCTTATGGAAGCTGGAATCCTTAAGCGTCTGATACACAGTGTTGTTTCATAAAAAATATGTGGTACTTCGACACAACCATACAGTGGACTAAGGCAAATTTTAAACAAACGCAATATAAATTATGAAGCATTGGATGATTTCTATAATACTGATATATTTGCAAAACTCCGGACCGCAGGTGTCTGCGGTGAGGAACGAACGCGCTATTATACAAGTTATATTTCGCAACATACCCTGCCGTTAAAAAAGAATAGACAGTAAATAAAAATGTTAACATTGGATGATTACTTGAATAGTTGAATGACTCATCTACAAGAAAAGAACCGAATAAAAACTTCATTTAAGTAGCAGTTAGATGTCAGGCAAGATATAATTTCCCTAGAGTGTCGAAAACCTTGCATCGGTTTTCCCAAGTGCCTAATATCCCACACGTACGCGGGAACCCTTGAAGATCGGAGACAGATCTGTAACCTTGCAATTAAGTTTCTTGTAAGACGGCTGCGACTCTTTGCGTTGGCTTTTTAGTCTATTATAGAATATGCAATGAAACGTTGAACTATTCCGGTTCAGTGGATTACGGATTTAGTTAAGTTGTAGCAGGGGAATGAATCACCTGCTCTACACTGCAGTTGTACACTTAGTAATGTCTCTCAGCTACAATGATGTGTTTACTATTAGAGAGAACGGCTGCTATACGAAATAGAAACGTACAGAGTAGCAATAAAATCGACATAATAACAAAGTCATTCACCTGGCATGTTTTTCTTTATGGCTTCAGATGGTGGGTACCATCAAGTAGACTAGAAGTCATCTAGTGAAAAAACACCGTGCTTGAAGATGACCTTTCATTGATGGTCGATTACAGATCGTTCTGCTCATTCTGATTCGCCCATTCAAACACGTATTTTCAGTTAGACTTTGTTCCCACTTTTTTTCAAGATTCGCTTGTAGAAGTGTTTAAGCCCTAGCACGATCACGATTTCTCAGATATTTTAAGATAATTGGATTATTTCTCTGAGGAATCGATTATTAAATAAAAATGATTACCTTATGTGTATAAGCTCAGTAATAAAAATACATTGCTGGTGCAGAGGTATTTCATCGCTTGAGGTATCAAAAATTCTTTTCAAATCTTCTGCACTACCAGCCATTCCAAACAGCCTAAACAGATTCACAAAGACTTATTGTAGTTTGAAAATAAGGAATAACCTTTGCTAAAGTGAAAAAAACAGCTTATGTAGAGTCCTTGTACCCCAGTACACTGAAGTTTTTGCACGACACCACACCTCGGATTATCAAGTTCTCCATACTTCGAATCTCAGCAAATTGCTACCAAACTTATCTGAGAGCTGGGTACAACGACCGGCCACTGTAGGGCACTTTAAAGGCCGAAGGTGCACTCATTGTTCACAACGATGCTACGAGTCGACCAGAATGCATTGTGTGCTCCTCAGTGGTTGATCGAAACCGAAAGTTTTATCCTTTCATAACTTCGAAAGCGTTCAATTGTCCTCAAGATGAACATAATAGCTGTGTTACACTGAAGTTCTTCTAAACTAGGCCTAATCATCGCCTTCGTTCAAAACTTAATATTTTCATACAGGGCTTTATAGTGTACTGGAATCAGGAAACTCACCCCGCTTAATTTTCATTTGCTGAAAAGTGTTTTTCCTACAGTGTTCTCGCCACTGATCCTCCAAATCAACGTTTTGAGAACTTTTGACGGAAAGCAGATAAGTAGTACAGTTTCAAAAAAAAAGAAAGGGTAGCTCACATTGCTACTCTTAGTCCGTCCAAGAAATAAAAGGTACATATCGTCCGGTTATATTGTCGCTGATCGGTCAAACTGCAGTAATCAAGTTATTGCTGCGATACGAATTCTTACCGTCGTGGATGGTTGCTACTTACAAGCTGATAGAATTTTCTCCTATCGATTCTGGTCACCGATTTGTTAAGGTGAAGACCTGAGATCGCATTAACACGTTTGTTTCGAAATCCGACAGAAAATCATGTTTTACCTACATTCTAAACGATGATGAGGAGAAGGGACAATTGCTTAAGTCATACCCGAACTCACACATGAATCCATTACAGTAATCCCACCTTCATTGCAGACGGTTGCAAAAGAGCAAAACAAACTTTTAAAAAGTTTCTCGCCCTCCACATCCTGTTAGGTTTGCTCATTTAGTGATCCAGGCAAGCAATACTACGTAAAAAGGCTTTACAGGAAGAAGAAATGTGGGATTCTTTTCACTAGCGAAGGAACCGCGTCTCTATGGCATGCAACAAGGAAGAGTGGAGACCCTCGTGGCGCTTTGTTGAACTGCATGATGATTAAATGGCACAATAAAAGCTGAAATCAGTTCATAACGAAAATTGTTACTTTCATAACCTCGAGTAGCTCAAAAATATGAGCGCGCTCTTTATTCCCTTTTTAAGCTCCTAGACGTTTTCGGGACATTCACAACGTTACTTTAGGCGTAATTGAGTCGAATTAACACCGATCGGCACATCATGTGAAGCATTTTCCTGCAAGAATCTGGCAAAAATGAGATTTTCTTGGTGATTCTAAAAAGAACGACTCTTTAGATTGGGTCGAATTGCTCTACCTGAAAGGATTCCACTTTTCAAAAGTAGCAGTCGACCTTTCTGCTAACCTCGGCATTGATTGACAATTCGATGTTTTTCTTCAATAAGCAGCATCACGGAACCTCGTGGTTGTTATTGTAGAATTTATTAGGATACAGTAGTTGACATTTCGGCGATTTCGCCTTCTTCAGAGCCGTTTATTTGTTGTAAGTATTCAAGTTTATTGGTGGATTGCAGCCGCACAGAGTAATACACGGGCGAGGACTGCGGCCACTATCCACCAACTAACTTAAATACTTACAACAAATAAACGGCTCTGAAGAAGGCGAAACAGCCGAAACGTCGACTGCTGTATTCTAATAAATTCTATAATAACGACCTCGTGTCTGCTCAAAAAGAAAGCTCTCGGAGTTGATCAAACTTTTTAGGAATGCGCCATGCATTCTTCCCAGATAAGTCTGGTACCAATTTGCCGACCCCGAGGGGATGGAAGGCATGGTGGGCCGTGCGCCGGTGGATCGATTCCACGTGTGTGTCGCGGTGGTGCCTCCAACCATTGCGCCACACGCGCCCCGTGTCTGCTTATTGAAGAAAAACATCGAATTAGTATCTGACCGTTGTGGATTGGCATCGTTGTCATTCATGTCTTCACTAGAAGGAGAGCAGGACATCCAGCACTTGACTTGACGTCTCGATTCTGGTTATGCAGCCAAACGAGGGAGGACAAAGTTGGATGATTACGAAAGTCGGTAATTATTTTCAATTATTATTGCATAGTTACTGTGCTCGATGGCAAATGCTGTGATAGTTGAAAGCGTAGAACCGTAAAGCTGTTTTTTCCTGCTCGAGTTTTTGTGTTATCGAGTTGTCTTCTAATCTTATTGTACTATCTTAGTGGCCTCGTTTCGCTCATGTTGTCGTTCCTTCATTCGAACGCCGTCGTCGGTTGATCAACACCGCAATATGCCTTATGAAGGAGTCAGTGAGCTTAGTTTTTTGTATATCTTATTTATTTAGTTTACTTGGTGCATTATAATATTTTTAGCCGAATGAAATAAGCAATTCATCGGCTGTGAATAGTTACCACCTTCTGCCTTCTCAATTTCCACTTTTAGCGTGAATGCGTTTCCATTCACATTGGACAAGCCGGTGCTCAGATCGGTAATGCTTGCTGGGAGTTGTACTGCTTAGAACACGGCATTGATCAAAGTGGAATCCTTGAAGAAGGCATCGATCAGAAGAAGATCGCGACTCAAGTGTGTTATACTGTCTTATATAAGCTAAAAAAACTAATTCTTCGTCATGTTGGACTAAAAACTTAGAAGGAAAACTGTAAACACTGAAGAAGCATTCCATTAAATGATAGGATTGGCCCAGGCACTAAAACATGCTGCAATCAAGTGACTGTCTCCTACTTTACTAGTTCATCGTACAAAAGTTCTTCGTGTTGAAATTCCTCTACTATTGACTAGCTGAAAATAGAGGTCTGAGGATATGTATTTGGCATTATTTAACGTTTGGTCTGTGGTTTTCACATCTTTGACTTCTAGAACGCTTTTCAGCCCAATCGATCAACTATTTTTTGAAGTTGCTGTAAGGCTCTAGAGCTAAGTACCTTTCGTAGCCTTCAGAACTGTACTACAACCATGCTAACCGCACAGGTTGTGCAAAAGTGGTTGATCAAACCAGTCACTGTCTAGGAGAGCTCCTTCACAGTTTAAAAACAATGACATGAAGAAAAACTAAATAAAGAAGTAGGTGAAATCTTAAATGATAACACTCCATAGCTTCGTTGAAGACACGATTTTTTTACCCCTAAGCTAATTCAAAATAAAGTTCCTTATCTTGACTATGCATGGGAGAGAGACGAACAATCTTGTGATCTTCCCGAAATCTTTTTTCATAATTTTTCTTTCGTAGCGCAGGGCTGTAATAAATTTACGGACTATATTTTAACCTTCCTCCCAACGGTTTACCACCTCATCGTGGCTGGGAGGTATTCCTGGGCGTGGGACTGCGATGTACAGTGGGGATTCATCCCTTAGCAGGGTCTCCCAGGCTGAGAAGGAGTCCGGCGTTTCCATGAGAAAGTCTAGCTAAGGGTAAACGAATGTCAGGATCCGCCACCGTCCTGGTATCAAAGTCGCATGGTGGCAAAGCTCCTTCTGATCCACAAGGGCTGCGACTGCCTGTGGAGATGAAGACCTGGAGCAGACTTTAACCAGGTTGACCTCGGGATTCCAGGTAACCACAATGGCTTAACCAGCAAATCTTCGAAATATGAAGATTATGCTGGAGCCCGCACAACCAGTGAGGACAGGTCATTCAACTACCAAGTATCAAGTATCAAGTATTTTAACCTTAACTTATTTATACGTTATCAGTTGTTCGAACAATCGGATTGGATCACTACATTTCAAGAGATCGCTTCTTTGAATTGATAGCGACAACAATAAACTATTATATACTATTGAAGGGGTCTAGAACTAGTATGTCAGTGCATCCTGTTCCGTAAGCACCTCTTTATTTAATCAAGTACTTAGATGGGCTTGTCTTCACATGACTCCAAACCCTAACACGTCCCTCAGTCAATTCATATTTTGCACACATGATTCCTGGAGATGAATGGGTTCATGTTTGGGTTCTGATGCGGCTTGATGATCTGTTATAACCTCTATTCTAAAAGATGTGGAGACTTTTAGTAGATAACGACTTCCTCTCGGATCACACAACGCGCCTGTGTAGTTGCCTCCATCACTGGCAATCGTCTGATTCTGTGCATGTCTGATAGGGAATGCTAGCTCCTTTTCTACTAGAGGGTTCCAGGAAAACAGCTATCCATCCAGTAGCTGCGATCCCCACGATTATTCGACCGGTGTACCGATGACGATTTAACGAGCTTAGTCCCATATAGCCTTGTAAAAATATTTAATTTTTCACTGTCTCAACAGCTCTGTATTTTAGACCCATTTTTCGTCCTTCTACAAGAATTTTACTGCTCTTTTTTTCTTTAAGCAGCATTGATTAACACTGCTGGCAAGCTTCTGAACTAAGCCCTTCACCAAAAATAACTCTGTTAACGCTCTACTGGCGCGTATCTCTTGTGATTAGTAAAGCGAATTCCAATAAATATCTAACACTGTTCGCCATGAGTAAGCCGACAGTTTGGATTTTTTATTATGACGGTTGTTTTTATTCCAGTCTCTTCAAGCTTTCTATTCCGAATCAAGCAACGGAAAATACGTCCCACGGGCCATCTACATAGATTTGGAACCGACTGTTCTTGGTGAGGTTTTTGCTCTTTACCAACTATCTTGTCCACCATTAAATTTATTCTGATTAAAACGATTCTATCTGTGTAGATGTCGATGTTCCCACTTTTTAACCTAATTTTTGTTAACGTCGAAATTCCTACTTGAGATTTCAACAAGATCGTTATGTCTTTGTTGTAACCACTGCGTTGTGTTGACATAAAATCACCAACAGTGGCATTATATTAAGAATATAACACTCATCGATTAAGTAAATATTGATAGTGATGTCGGTAACGTAGGAAGAACAGCTGTTTTATGAGTTGCCGAATTTCACGACGGTGTCATGAAGAATTCGCTCAACAATCTCGTAGACACTTCGCGGATTATCTACAGTCAGATCAGTTTAGTAGAAGTTCGAGATTGGCATCTATCTGCCACATCTAGGGTCATTCTCCGCAAATGTGCCGACGACCGACCGCATCTTTTTCGAAGGCAAAACAATGTTTTTGAAGTAGTTATTCGTCTTACCGCTCCAGATGTCATAACCACAGAACAGAACTCCAATGTGTGGGTAACGAGAGCGAATGTAAATGAAACTCTTAGATTTCAATGTAAAAGTCTTACAAGCTGTTTGAAGTTTCAAGAAAAAACGAAACTAATGAGGGAAGAACACTTAATCTTTCTTCCAGCGAACAAATATGTTCAGTCACTTTCGAGCTTTTAACATTGCTATCAACTCATATTTTTTAGATATTTCATTAAATATCATAGTCTCTGATCCCATAGTCATGCAGAAAACATCTGAATATAATGTAACGTATAATGCGGTACAGTTTCATGAAAATTGAACGATTTCAGTAAGTAGCCTTTCAGACGAAATTCGCACCGGCCCGTTTTCGGCCCTGTTCCATCCCGATCAGATCATCAGTGGTAAAGAAGATGCGGCTAACAATTACGCACGAGGACACTACACTATCGGAAAAGAGCTGATAGACGTTGTTTTGGAAAGGATTAGAAAGCAGGTTCCGAATCCTTTCTGATAGCTTATCCCTTCTGGAAACTTGAGGTGGCCGAGTCGCCAAGGCAGTCATAGAAATTGATTAGATGGTGACAGAATAATGACAGAACAAAGAATAATAACACCTCGCGTTTGCTCAACAAAAATACGAACAAAATCATTAGATGATGACAGTTTTACAGACGGAGAACTGCATGGGTTTGCAAGGTTTTCTTGTGTTTCATTCTTTTGGCGGTGGCACTGGCAGCGGATTCAGTTCACTTCTTATGGAGAGATTAAGTGTCGAATATGGGAAAAAGAGCAAACTCGAATTCAGGTTACTTTAAGAATCCAGCTCGAGTTATCTCTATATTCAAAGCTAATATAACACTCACTCTTTTTTTGCTGCCACACTGTGGAACAATTCAGCTATAAGATTGAACGGGAAAAGTGCTGTGTTGGCCTCTTTTTTACTTTCTCTATTGAAAGAAACTGATTACTTCCCTAAAGCATTTAGGGAGAAATATCAGGCCGTCTGCCTAGTAGTATTGGAATGTTTACTGAAATTAGGCCAAAATATAACAGAAAGTCTGCAGTCTGCAGTCTATTGTTGCTGCAAAAGGGGTAGAGCTTCCAAAAAAATCATTTTCTTCTATACGTGCATATCTATCGCTTTCAGTATCTATCCTGCTCCTCAAGTGTCAACGGCAGTTGTTGAGCCGTACAACTCGATCCTCACAACCCATTGTACCCTAGAGCATTCTGACTGCTCCTTTATGGTCGACAATGAAGCCATCTATGACATCTGTAGGAGGAATCTAAATGTCGAGGTATTCGTTACACTTTCGTTCCAGATGATGTAGAGGGTAGTGTGACAGGAGAACATATAGATGAAAATTTTTTTACCATCCCAACCCAGCACTCTATTCTCCATAAGTGGCGTAAATAAAAGAATCTTTTTTTATTTTATATGACCCGTCTTCACGTCTACTGTGCGGATCCCAGCACTACTCACATTCGATTTGTTTCCTCGCATCCATTGTCCACGAAGTCCTTCCAACTTTAACGTGTGACTCCAGTTGATGCTTGAGCATTATCATTTCATCTTGAATGTCGTAGAATGCTGGTCGAGCAATTCTGCCTGGAGTCCGGAGATAACCGAGCTGAAGCGTTCCCAACTGGATTGCAGAAAAAAATTTTTCCCAGACAAGTGCGGTACCATTTTTTTGACCCCGGAGAGATGAGAGGTTTGGTGAGCCTGGAGCCGAATCGAACTAGCACCAAACTCGTAATGACGGACATCATTACCACTGTGCTACTCGCTTTCTAATTTTTGCAATAAAAGAATTACAAATGGCATTTTGATGATGTGGCAAATCGTTGTTGAACCAGTTGAAACCTAGAAAGTTCTACATCGGAATCCGCTTTTATTTTACCTGAGCAATGAGTTCTAAGCGCAATTAGCAACTACATGAAGCAAAAGACAATTTCCGTTATCTGCAGTTTATATGGGCTTCTTTCTCAATAGTCCTCAAGTGACACGAGGTGCAGTGGGTTTCGCTCGCTTGAACTACGCGAAGAAGGTGACATTTTTCGTTCATGATTTCGATGTAGAACTCGCATTATCGACTTCTTCGTCTACTTCTACGCTTCCCGTTCATGAAATTCAAGTGCTAGAGACTCTTGTCGTTAACTCTACCATCGTTAGCGCTCACCGGATTACAGGTCTTCCTGATTTTCAATATATTGATCTATACTGAGACAGCTTTGATCTTCGATCGTCGACGTAGGTGTGCACTTTGTGTGTCCTGCTTCTTTTGCGTGATAACTGATACTCCTCGCTTTATCCGCTTTATAATTCCATCGACAACAATGGCCGATTATTCATTCTGATCGCAGTGTCTCTTCAAGGGGAAAATTGAGGGTCTATAGGCTACTTTAGTCCCAAGAGCGAATAAAACCTTCTGGGTTGCTCTTTTACACGTGACATCAACAAATTCAGGTTTTAGTGATCCACGGTTCAGTTAGCTTTCAACGACGGAACATATGATGTGGATAAAGCGAGAAAGCCGTGTCGTCTTTGTTCAGTTCCATTCTGTACGCGACTGAGCAGTTCCTCATGTTTACATCCTGATCCACAAGCACAGGTGGAGCATTCGAAGAAATCAGTTCCATCAAATTCGAATGTGTTATCAGAAACAAATGAAAGAACAGCGATTTCCTTAGGTTCATCCAAAGACCAGTCTTTCCAGAACAGATTCGAAATCTTCCAGTATTCGCTTCACCTATTTAACATTCGATGTTATGGAAAGGTTATCATTACCACAGCGATGATACAACAGCTGCATGCTCTCGAATTTCACTCCCTAGCGTTTCTGACACTATTGATGGTCTAAGTAATGACCTTCAGGGTGATGCATTTTTGAGTAGAATCCGCCAGTCTCCTCTACGTCATGGCTTGATGTTGAGGAGCCAAACCACGATTTCCAAAGCTGGTACTGGTTCAGATCTTTTCAACTGTAGAACTGCGAGAAGAATTATTTGCTTTTCGAAAGAGTAAGTGCCCATTGTCAGACTCACGTTGACAAAAACTTCAGCTTCACGAAATGTTCGACTACCGCAATTTCGCAGGAGCAAATTTCCAATGTCCGCAGCATTTCGTTTGGCACCGCCCCACTCAATCGTAATAATTCGTACATAATCTTCTTGGATTGAAAGCCTAAGTGTTCAATGGAAGTCTTGCTTTTTAAGTTACGGCCACTACGAGTTTTTCTTGCTGCCTGCTTTTGCAGAAAGAAGCCATAGGTGGTCTCTTCCGTTCTGCCATGAAGTGGTTATGTTCACAAGTAGCTCGTTCTCCGTTCCAAGAGATCTCGCTGAAAACGGACCCCGAACCAACCTTTACGCGCTGAATATCTATGTCAATTCAAGACGGGAAAGAGGCAAGTAGCCCATTTCTCGAATCAAACCACGTCTCCTGGCATCAATTTCGGCAAGTGTTGCATAACATTTGATCCATACACGCGCGTTTCGTCACGATGGGATGTGCCACGTAGCCTCCCAATTCAGTGGCAGCAGACCGCTCATCGAGTGGGACCAACGGCAAATACAACTCTGATTTCATGGCCAAATTCGATGTTTTTTTTAGCGACCGTCATATGTCAATCTTAATCGACTCATTGCGCAAATTGTCTCCTCAATAACTGCTTCATTGAGATTTGATGGAGCACTCAATGTCGACTTAACGGAGTTCCAGGTAGCCCAATCATGTGTTGAGTTTGAAAGCATCTCACTCGTAAATTCACATTGCAGACAAATCTCGTTCCCTATCCACGAATTCACTTTCCACTCGCCACCTATGCGCCGGTGATATCTGCCGAAAAGGTGGCTATTTTACTACAAACGGTCAATTTTTTTTTCATTCCTATGAAATATATAAGTGGTCGTAGAACCCATTATATTCAGGGTCCACATATCCCTTGCCAATTCAATACTTGTTGATTGAAACTGCAAACCAAGCAGCTCGATTTTACCCGTACTGCTCAGTTCGGATCAAACAATGCGTTTAACTCTTTTCATTGTAGGCCTATCACGAGCCCCTTTCTGTGCAGGACATCACCCACATGTGTTTCGAACCATGTAATCAAATGGTGAAATGTGATCCACGACATGGAAAATACATGGTAATGAATTTCCAAATAGACATGAACATCCGTTTCCAAGACTTGGTTTGCAGGCAGTCTGCCTACTGTATCGAGGAGACGTGGTGCCCAAAGATGTGAATGCGGCTATCGCATCGGTCAAAACAAGAAGGGGAATACAATTCGTGGATTGGTCGGTTTTACAACGTAATCTTTTTTTAGTGGGCAATCTTTCTAGGGTGATTAGACAAGTAGAAAAACACTGCTCGACGTAGCTCTCTCGCATTGTTTTATCCTGGAAAGGAAATTTTGATGTATGACATAGAGAGAATACTAATAGCCTGCCATAGTATCCTTAAACAACAAGTTCCACAAAATAGCAAGCTTAACAGTTCCTTACTTAATAGTAATTTTAAGGTGTCCCACTGGTTTCAAGGTCGGGATTAACTACCAAGCTCCCACAGCCGTGGAAGGTGGAGACTTGGCCAAGGTGGGATTCATTAATGTTATAGTAGCCTGCAAAAAAATTGCCTACAGGTTAAAGCTTAATTTTTTAGCAGTAGCCTTTTGTCATTATTCAAACAAGAAGTGTTGCGGTGCAATCTTCGGTCTGAATACCTACTTTACTGTTTTTTCACACTTTTCTCAGCACACGTTTACTTTATTACTCAATGTGACAAGAACGGTATATCTTCTTTTTTGTCGAAGTACTCGTCAATTGCTGTTACCAATGGATTTACATAGTGGTAGAATAAATACTGAGCACCCATAGTCTGCGGTAGATAGAGGTAGATGAGGAAGGTCATCTGAAAACAAATGCTTGAACTCTTGCCATATCATCTGGATTGCTTCTTATATCTCAAATCACTGAAAGGAACTCATCCGCTGTAACCGCAACATTATGAGTACCTTACGCAATACTGAGTTCTTAGGGATGCGTGTAGCGCAGTGGTTAGAGGCGTCCTTTAATACACATGGGATCGTCCCATGTACCAAGCTCACCAAGCCCTCTATCCATCCGGGATAGGCACATTGATACCAGACTTGTCCAGGAGGATAGCAGCACTGCCTTGGTACATCGGTAGCCCAGCGTGAGTCACTGTTTAGGCCAGATATGCATTGAAATCATCCTTGAGATACTCTTACAAGTCGAATGCATGGCATAACCCTCAACATTTGATCAACGCCGACAACCTTTTCTAAATTTTGAGTTTTTATTCAAGAAGTACAAGCTGTAATTAGTACTGATGATATTAAGGCTTTCAAATAAGGCCTTATATTATTCTAGCATGTCCTTTGAAGCAGTTGTGTCTCAGGAAAACGAAACCATAAAGCTTAGGCTCTATAGTACATGTACGGATAGCGCAATTAACGGTACAGACAGAGGACTTAGCGGCTGAGTATTTTTGGTAATGCATTGTTTTCTTCGATAGTAGTAATGGTTGAATAAAGTGTACCGCCAGAAGGGTTGATTTATTCCATAGTGATGTGTCATGGATTCGACTCCACCAAGCATCTTGGAGACGGTTGATGTGGTGCGAATACGATGGTTTGCTAGGACGTGCCAAACACATCCAGTCAGTGCTGTTACCCATCCAGAGAAATCTGGTCCCGCCGAGGCCCCGACCATGAATAATTTGCATTTTGAAAAAGTGGGATAGAACCATGAACCATGTGTCTATTGTGGGACATCCCTGACCATTCAGCTTATAAGCACCATATAGTGACACTCAAAAGTTTTGGCACCAGCAAATATCAAAGTATTTGCATAACGCACTGTCGAGTTATGGGTGACCTTTCATTCCTTTTCTCGTGTTACAGTGGTCAACTAGCCTTGTGAGGTGTTACATTAGTAACTGCAATTATAGCGCACACATTATTGCTAAATTTGTGTTTCATTATTTTTTAGTCTTGTAGCATCTATGCGGATAACTATGAACAAGAAACTCAGAAAAGCTATCGATTTTAGTTGTAAGCAAGGCTTATTTTTCAGCGTACTTCCACCGCCACTTCCCTGACCCAATCGATACGTATCTCTTGAGCGATCATAGTTTTCTCATTTCATTATTATCGACGCTGTATCAGAGCAACTAAATTCATTTTACAATACTCACCTTGAATAACCAGTAGAACGGGAACCACTGCATTATTCCGATGGCGAAGAAATCGAGAAGTGAGAAGACGGCAAACACGCACCAGTAAATAAGCCATTGTGTGTCATCACTGGTGTCCTGTGATCGTACAGCCTGAATAGGTAGTACTTGAGTTAAACTGATGTTGACCTCAAACAGAAGGCATCGTAGCTGTCCGTGAATGGCAGTTTTTATGGTAAGTTTCGCTACAATATTTGTTATTTTAGCTTGAAAATTCGACGAACTCCAGCAGTTACTGGACTGATACCTAATCTCTATTCTCCTTTGTGAATGTGATTTCTCTTTATTCAAAAAAAAAGTGTGGGAAAAAATAACGTTATTCTTTGTTCCAACTCCCATTTATAGCTGCTTTAGATTGCAGTTGACCTTGGACTTTACTAAACAAGTAGAGGAACCAAAAACTGCGCAAAATTTTCTGACTTGCTTAGCTGCACTTATTTGCATCAGTGAAACTATTTTCTGGATGTGTGCTTCTTATTCGTGTATTTCTCCTCCACTATTTCATCTGGAAATTGTTGCGGTTAGTGAACGAACTCTTCTTTATCACCTTGACACTGACGTATGCCGGATACGCGAAGCCAATCAGGTTGCATACCAACTGGGCGGCTGAGCCGATAATCAAGTACAGTGCGAACAAAGCGATTAGACCGTATGCAATCTGCAAAAGAAGAACCCCCGCTCAAATTCATATAAGGCGCCCACACCGTGGATATAGCGTGGATGAAAAGATAAAGAACTGCATTGTTTAGTTTCTTTCATCGAGATGATAAGAAATGAAAAATAATGCATTCGACATTGATAAATCAAAGAGGGATGTGTCACGCATTTCACTTGGTGTGGTGTCGTGAGACAGGTATTTGGACGGTGAATTGCAAAAGCGTTCCGGTCTTTCAATTGGGTAAATGTATTTCCTAGAAAACTCTGATGTCTTTTTGCCGAAATTTGACCGAGTTTGACGAACCCAGTCGTAGTCTGAACCATAAACCACTGTCTGTGAGCAGAGTGCGCGACCAATGAATTTTGTGCCTATTGATCGGCAGTGTGGGTCATGATGGCGGAAAACTCATAGCATGGCCGAAAAATGGAATCTAGCAATAATCTGTTGTAGACGTTTACAGTAGACCTGCTCATTGGAGGTCGTTGTAAAATCGAAATAATAATGTCATTCATAAGAAAGAAACTGGGAAGAACACTACCAGTTGTCACGGCGTTTTTGCTTTAATAGAGGAAAAAATCACAACCTTTTCTCTTGGCAGAGTAAATATCGATTCTGCCATTCCAACATTTTCTTCATACATTTCACCATGGTTGGCATACAAGAAGGTAACAAAATCAGTCTAAAATCTAAAATTGATCTAAAATCAACTGTGGCGGTCCCTTAGGATCTAGTACCCGCCATGGCGATGGTTTCGTCGTACACTTTACCAATAATTCAGGAAGGTTGAATTGAGAATTTTGCCCATGCACTTCGGCATCGACTCGTTGTGGAAATGATATGTATTGATCAGCAAAAGGTTTCGATAACTCCTTTCCACGAGCAGCGCACATTAGTTCTATGGATGATAGTGAAGAGACGTTCTTCGGCACTACGTAAAATACGCTGTTTTCGAGCAAAGTGAACTAGAAACGTCCTCAAATTTGCGCTGTGAGTTCATGCTTAATACCAATCTTCCCAAAATATCAATTTCCTCAACGATTTCGGCCGCATCTTTGAAACGAAAAAAGAGAACGTAGACATTTGTGGACATAAATCTTTCGAAGCACTTCATCTGGCGGAAATTGACGAAAAAAAAAGCAAACTGGCTCAGTATTAATTACTCTTCTTATTTATGAGACTTACATGGGCTCTTTCCAAACCATTCACCGGCGTTCTATTGATGCTGCTTGAATTGCTCGCATTGAGTCTACTTACCATCTTGCGAACTTTCCCTTTACCTGTCATAACTAAGACTACGAATACCTTTTCATTTCATTAATTTCCTTAATATACCCTTACCTCAGTCGCATAATAACTGTTTGATATTGATACCAGTATACAGTCAACAAGTCAACTGTATTATCCATTAACACCGAGATCACTTGCCGTGTGTGCAGCTACAAGTTTCAGGCCTTTTTCTCGTTGTTATGTAGAATGATTGGGATATAGCAAAAAGAAAGCGAAGATCTGACAGCAAATGAATATGTTGGACATTCACGACCTCGTATTGTCAAACTTGACCACAGTGGTCCTTCACTGACTATTACACATTTAATGGAATTGAATAGGATGTCAGATGATTTGTGAAAAATTTACTGCATGAGCTTCGAAATACATCAGTACGGAATGAATGTACAGCATCTTGACAGCGATAATGTACTCACACGGGCCAGTTCATTGCTTTTCTTTCCCAAACTCATAGATGCAGTGCATGGATACAGCTGACCCGTGGGACAACCCGACTAGTACTGCCAATGTTTCATTCGTTGCAGAAGAAGCAACCACTAAACTCACGACTCGCCAACCTTTTGAACGAAGCGAGCGTTGGATTGGAAGTTTTGGGTGAGACCCATCATCACCATTCATACCTTTATCCATTGATTTGCGCCATCACTGTTTGCATCAATAACACACGTATTTGTCAGAAATTCTTCTAGCCCTAAGAGCATCAGAAAATCCACTTAAATCTTTTCCAATTAGCAATCGTCGGTGAGGGATGAGAGACTTACCTCCTTTGGCACATTTCAGGTGCATAGAGCCGTATGCATGCTGTCCAACACGACTTCCATTGCCGAAGCATGGGCCAGACTTAATCGTAAATTCGATCTAATGTACGCAAAACGAGCATTCGTACACTGGTATGTCGGTGAAGGTGAATATTCTGTTTCTTCTGTAACCTTTATATGATTAATTGCTTATTTATACTTATTTACCAAACAAAGATCTGACTGGTTTCTTCCGAAGCAGAAATCTGTTGAAGAAAATTGCTGAAATGCGGGACAGTAGAGCCTATAATGTTTCTAATAATCAAAATTTCATTCCTACCGCCTGTTTAGTTCAGACACGAACAATAATGTTCTAAAACTTCCATACTGTAATTCTGAATAGGGTTTTAATTAATTTATCTCATTGACCTCTTATTGTGAAGTCTCCACCGTTCTGCTTTTTTCAGTGTCACATTCCTTTCCGGCTCCAAAATTGAAATCAAATTGGTGTTCTATCGACTATAAATCCATCTGTAAGGAAGCAGCTATCTCGAGAAAGCCTACAGTCATGCTTTCTTCAAAAATTGATGAAATAAAATCCATTCCTCATTCTAATTCCAATTTCACGTAGTTTTTCTCCAGGGATTAGTTTGTCTACAAACGTCTGAGGTGACCAAATTCTGTGAAAAAGAGTAGAAAAAAAATCTCAGTCTTATTTGCCTTGTGCCATGGAAGGGTTATAAAAATGATGACTCGGAGCGCATCGAGGACACTATGGTGTTCAAGCGTTTCATTTCTCTCCGTTCTTCCAAAAAAAAAAAATTGTTTTTAGTGTTATTACAACACATGGGATCGATTTCCACTCTCCTGGCCCACCAATTTTGGCAAATTGGTACCACACTTGTCTGGGAGGATAGCAGCACTGAATCGATACATCGGTAGGCCAACGCGAGTCATTGTAAAGGCCAAACATGCATTCAATCACCTCCAACCAATGCTTAATGAAGTCGAATGCACGGCGCATCCCTAAAGGATTGGTAAACACCGGGAGCTCTATCATTTATTATTTTAGTATGATTATTATCACTACATATTTCCATATTTATTAATTACTGTTGTATTGCTCACGCTATGTTATACTTTTATTACAAACGATCATTATTGTCATTGGCAGAGTTATTTCTAATGCATACGTTTAGGGATGGAAGAAGGTGAATTCACGGAAGCGAGAGAAGACTTGGCCGCATTAGAGAAGGATTATGAAGAGGTAAGCCGAACTTCTCCGCCGTCAGGAAAGCTAAAATATAAAGTAAAGCTTTTGTTGTGTTCTGAGGAGTTTCGTTTCCTTTTCCATCCCATAATACCACTGTAGAGCCAAAACGTTCATAAGATGACAAAGACTTTCGTTACCATCAGTCATTTATAATATTTTAGCATATTGCAGGTGAGCCGTGACTCCGGTAATGCGGAAGAAGATGAATACTAAGTTTTTTCTCCTCAGTGTTTCTCACCTAATATATTCGTTTTTAATAGACATAATAAATGATAACAACAACTGTTGCGTTTCATGCTAACTTTGCAACCAGTTTACTCTCCTTTTCACCTATTTTTCCGTTCGAAACCAATATCCAAGGAATCGTTTTGGTTAGAATGGCCTCATGTTTTCCTTTCCGCTCCATATCAAACTCCGCTCATCACTGTCTCTTTATCCTTTATCTGTTCACCTTTCTATAGCTTCTTTGTTTCTAAGGTTTTCTTCTACTCTCAGAAAGTAGGTGTTCATTACTGAGGTCGCAGACGGTGTGGCCGACCAGAACTCGACGTGGAGCTACGGTCAGAAAGTCCTCAATAAAGAGACCTCAAGCAACCTTGGTCTATTTTTAAGTTTGTTATAAAATTTAACTTCATATATTGTTTTAGTCTCAACACGCCATTAGCTCTGCACGATTAAATGTCACTCAAGGCATTTCTCTACTAATTTAAGTCCTGCTAACGCCCTAGTAGTGCGCTCTCACTGCCATCCTCCGCCACTGTCAGTCAAAATCTGTGTTCTACCACACAAACGTTTTACCGATTTGCTGTCCCCGAAGTGAGGAGAGATTTTGATGGCCTAATGCGTGAATGAACCATATGTATTTACTGCGCAGTAGCTCATACCAGTGCGCTTCCCTCGCCCTAATGATATAACATACACATATTTAAATAGCATACCACGACTACAAATGATTCATTCGTTTCGTCATACAAACGCTGGAAAAGAGTATTACAGGAATATGAAGTAAATCTGGTTAAAAAATAAAATTACTGAAGCTGTTCAGTACTCTTGGCGTCCTATAATTGAAGGACTTCGACTCTAAATTTGCATGGTAACAAGAAACACTGGCACTGTTGGTCTTCAATACATTCTCAAGGTCAATGTAGAACTGAATTCGTTCATTCTTGCGAATTTCACTGCAAATTTTCCGGTTATTGGTATTCGTTAAGTGCATGTTATCCGCTTCCTCAGAGACTATATAAGCAAAAAGTGAGTGCGATGTACTACGCTAAGACGTTAGACGCTACCAACGCGATTTCGTGAATTCTTAACATAACTGAATAGCCATGCCACGACCGACTTTCTATTAACCTCGGCATTGATCAAGTGATTTTCTTGGTATTTTTGTTGAGCAAACGCGAGGTGTTACTATTCTTTGTTCACGATTAAGCTGACGTTTCGGCGGATTTCGCCTTCTTCAGAGCCTGGAAAGGTCAAGTTGATAGCAATCCACTCGGCCAGACGCCTCCATAACCAAACAAAAAAACTCCAAACCAAGATTTCAATCACTTTGAACACAGCTTTGCAAACTCACCGCTTCCTATGAGGTTTCCACTAAGTATGTCACGTAGAGACCAACCTCACAGAAATCACATGGAAGTATAATGTGCTATCAACTTGACCCCCTCACATCAGAAAAGCAGTTCTATATACTGCCCTATATCATGCGTGATAATGAGGCATTCTTCCCTGCGGTTCATTTTCGGATTTCTGGAATTAATCCAGA